TATAATAACTCAAGATATATGTGCATTCAGAAGATAGTTGGCTGTACCTCTTGTAATTGTTACTATTTTGAAACTGGGTTTGCTCCAGCACATACTTCTAAGGCCCCTTCCACACAGCAGAATAAAATCCCACATTTTCTGTTTTGAACCGGAATATATGGCAGTGTGGACTCAGTTCAAAGCAAATATTGTGGGTTATTCTCCCTTGATATTCTGGGTTATAAGGCTGTGTGGAAGGGCCCTAAGAGATTACCATTTCAGTTCTTGGGGGAGGGGGTTAAGTATATTGCAGAAGGCTAAAGCCTAGCCATGCCTTATGTATGCCTATTGTTTACCATAAATTCAGAGTAATCCTCTGCACATAAGAAAAAGGATATTTTTCAGATAAATTTCAATGTGTGGTTAATACATTGATGGATTGCTAGAGTGAATGCAGTGGATGATGGGGGATAGGAAAGCAGCCAGAACTGTAAGGGATATAGAATTGGTGCTAGTCTATTCTTGCTCAGGTTGTACTACTTCTATTATACTAATGTAAGCAGCATGAAAGTATTTGGTACACTTGTCATGTACTGAAGCCTTGGGGTTGGGGCTTAAATGACACATGTATTTTCAACCCTAGGTTAGTGGAATTTTGTTTGTCTGTTTGTAGTTATTAATCCTTCACATTCACCAAAGGTATTTTTATAATTGATTTTTGAGAATAAAAGATTCCAGAAAAGAAAAGGTATAAGGTAATTGTTTACATAAAAAGTGGGTGAACAATGTGATTAAGAAAAGTAGGAAAAGTAAAAGTAATAGGAAAAAAAGGAGTATAAAGGGGAAAGAAAGAAAAAAGGCGGCCGGGGGGGGGGGGGGGACCAAAGGAAAAGGGGTAGGAGATAGAAATAACAATAAAAATAAAAAATAAAGAAAAAAGGGGAAAAGAAAAAGCCGGAAGGATACAGTTGTACTTCCAGGTCTCTTCCGGCTGGGGAGTCTTCTTTCGTTTAATTTACTATTTTGTTCCCTCACGTCGGTTTTCTTTTTTGGTTTCAATTTGACCTTTCTTTTAGGTCATTTTTCCATATATCTTTATCTTTTCTCTATTTAAGAATTCCCTGAACTTCTCCCAGTCTGTTCACCAAAGGTATTTTGTGTGTTGCTGTTACATAGGGACAGTATTTAGGCAACTTTTTGCCCATATCTGCGGAGAGTCTCAGAAATCAGTTTGACTTAAATGTAAACTGCAGAACATCCAAGGCAGTTATGAATGGTGCTGGTTATCCCCACCACCCATCCCACCCAAAAAAACAAGCAACACCCAATTACGATTACAGATTCTATGACTATTCTACTGTTTCTAGAGCAGTGGTTCTCAACCTGTGTGCCCTTGGGTGTTTTTGCCCACAACTCCCAGAAAGCCCAGCCAGTTTACCAGCTGTTAGGATTTCTGGGAGTTGAAGGCCAAAACATCTGGGGACCCTCAGGTTCAGAGCCATTGCTGTAGAGACTTCCTGGGGGTTTTTAGCCTCACATGCATGCATATTTTCATATAGATTCACTGAATGTGGTTAATCATTATGAAACATGTAATAGGGACTAGGGCTTGCAAGAAATTGAGAAATCCCCCTTCCCACCATGGCTGAGCGTCATTACTAGGCTTCAGTGCTAAATCAGCAGCTTTAGCCTTGACTCTTCCATCAATGGTGAAATAGTCTTAGAACATTAAAAGCTGTTGTACGACAGAATAGGAAGAGTTCAGAAAGAGCTGCCTCCTATGATGATTCGGGGAAAACAGTACTGTACTTTCCATTTAATCACACCCACTCTCCAAGCTCCTAAGACCTATTTCCTCCTTGACAACATATAACCTGTATCACATTTTAAAAGGGGGTTGAGCATTGCATTTCCCTTCCTTCAATTTCCTCTTTATACATTTTCCCCAGCTGATCTTCAATTGCTTTTACATTCTGTGATGCCGGGTGAACAAAGAACATGTTCTGTATTTGTTGGGTTATTCTTACTCTTTTCTTTTGTGAATGTGTGTTGTCACTTATGAACCATTTTTTCCTCAGGGTACCTGTGGAGTACACCTAAGATTGCAGAACTCTTGTGTATGGGTGATTCCATAATTCTCATTGCGTTACAGATTGGGGTGGGAGCCCTAGGCTTGCTATTAGCATACACAATGGACATTCAAGCTAAACATCTGCTTTTAAGCATGTGGTCTAAAATGATGAGATGTTGCTGCATTCTTTTTAAATGTTTACTAACCAAGAGTTTTTCAGTATTTCACCATCATAACCATTGCCATAATTAACAACTGCATTTTGTAGTTCAGCTTGCTGTTCCATATACATCAAATGAAAACTTCATGAAGGAAATGAATACTGAATTCAAAACTAGAATGAATAAACCTTTTTTTTCAAGCTGAAAAATGTTGCATATGTGTTTGTATCCAAAATGGTATTTTTAAAGGTTACATGGAACATTTAGGAAATGGAGATGTAAAGTTAATTCATTACAACCTATTGCAGTGCTTGGTGAGAATTTGCATCAGACCATTGCAATTTTGTAATGAAAAAAATTACATATTTACGGATGGACAAAATGGGTGGAAGACCGAGCTGTTTCTTGTTCACCTCTTAAACTATATTTTCAATACAAGTGACAGTTTAAAACCAGTCTAATATATTAATAGCATTTGGACAATGTTACATTTAATTCCCAGTATTCTGTTGACACTGACAACAGGACAGTGTGTATTTTTGTTCACCTGCCTAAGTTATCTGTTAGTTAATCAATGTCACATTTAAATGGAAGTTGCTGTATATTTACATAAAGAAATGATTTTTATTCTCTCTATACCTTTATGGGGAGGAGGATCTTATTGACATGACCTAGGTTGCATAACCCACAATGATTGCTCATTTCAAACGAAATGATTAGGCCGTGTTTTGAGAGAAGGTCATGCTTTGAAGAAAGAGAAGATGCTTGATGTACAGGCAGTCCCCAAGTTAAGAACAAGATAGGTTCTGTAGATTGGTTCTTAATTTGAATATATATGTAAGTCGACACAGGTACATTTTAAAAATGTAACTCCAGCTGTGTGCGTGTGTGTGTGTGTGTGTGTTTTGGTTAGCACAAGGAAGGGCTAACATCTCTGTGGTGTTTGTTTTGTTGTCTGTCCCCTTGTTCAGAAGATTTAGCCTGACTTTCTTTCTCTGTGATCATTGGATTTTGGGGAAAACAGTCTAGTTGTGGAAACAAGGATTGGTGATAAAGCTTCAGTTGAGACACCTTTCCTCCATGATAACTCTTTCAGGAGTGAATTTTCCTTCCTGGGGGTAAATTTATCTCACTTCCTGTTGTCTCACCCTCATTTGTAACTATGAGTCATTTGTAAGTTAGGTTTTTATAACTCAGGGACTGCCTGTAATCCTATGTGAGGTTTCTCCTCTTGTATACATCTTCACCAGCTTTACTGGCCAGAAATTCCTTACTGGAGAAAAGCTGCATAGGAAGCAAAGTATATTGAAGTAGTGCTGGTCATGGAAAGATTTTTAAGTGACTTTTGTTTGTTTGCTTGTTGTTATTTTTTTCTCCAAATCATGTTCTCCGACCCATCTGCTTTTACTTTCTTGTCAGAAGATTTGGGTTTGCATATCTGAGTGCTCTTTCAGAGTCTCTTTGGGCCAGGGATTAATTATGATGTTAACAGAAAGGAGAAATAAAAAACTTTCAGGAGGCATAGTCAGATCTTTATGTGAGCTAGGAAAGTACTTTGCTCTTTCTCTCCCTTTGTTCTTAACTTGTGATTTTGCCTAGACTTGTTCCATTGGTATCTTCTAACAGAGTATTGAGATTTATATTATGCTGTAATCTGATTCTTTGCATGTTTACTTGGACATAAGTGTTGTTTCACTGGATGTGATTTATTCCCAAGTAAATACACACAAGATAGCAATGTTGTTTAACTATTATTTCCAACAGGTTAAAAAACTGGAAATGAATACAATACATTATGTAATGTGTGCTAGCTGTTTTAAGACTATGGTCACAAATCCACCAAGGTCTATTTAAATTGGGCTTTATTAAATCAAGATGAACGTTTTCATCATGTTGGGTTGAAGTTCTCTCTGGTAAAGGTCTTCTGGACTTATGTACCAGCGCAATGTTTTTCAAAAAAGCTCCTAGTGGCCTACCAAACCCGAGTTTTGTTTAACAAAAATGTGTGCTGATACAGTCAAATTATTTTCTCTTAACCATAAATGTAAGAAATGTGTGTGACCAAAAATGGTCAACTAGACTGAAAAGGAACTGACAAGAGTTTCTCATTTGGAATGGAATGTATTGTACCTCATTTGGAATATCGTTGCAATGCCTTATGCATCTGTATTTGAAATTGCAATGTAAATTTGAATACTTTGGGGAAAATCCAGTTGTACTGGTGCTACTAATCCCCTAGAAGGCATTATATTTCACCTTTTCTGTAAGCAGGTACCATTCTTAGTATAGTGATGGGATATATAAATGTTTAATATCAAAATGTTAGATATGAATATTTTATTCATCCAATAATGGTTTCCATTATTTTTGTGTAATATTAGCTTCAGAAAGGAGATGAAAGGATATGTAAATGTTTATTTTAGTATTTTAAAATGATTTATCTGACACATCTGAAACAGAGCTACAGATACTAGGTTTCAATTTTGCTATTTTAAAGACACCCTTCCAAAAAACACAATAATCATCGGTTACTGAATTAAGGGGCCACTGCAGTGTCTAGGTAATTTGTTTTTGTTTGTACACTTTATCTGTGAATAGTATTTATGGTGTAAGCAATTAGTTTGTATTTCACTATGGTTTCAGGTTTGACGATGTTCTTTGTTTTTGTTTTCCTGTTCTTTTCAAACCCCTGTTTATATGTGTGTATTTTTTCCTCTGCCTAGACCTGGTTAACCATTTTTGTGAACAGGTCCTCAATTTTTTACTTTGTCCCTACTTTCCTGTCGTAGCCCCATCTTCCCCTGGTGTCGACTCCGTACCCTTACAGCGCACAGGCAGTCAACACGGCACACAGAATGCAACAGCGACCTTCCAGAGGGCCAGCTATGCAGCCGGCCCAGCCTCCAATTACGCAGACCCCTACCGACAGCTGCAGTATTGTCCTTCTGTTGAATCACCATACAGCAAATCGGGACCAGCCATCCCACCTGAGGGAACCTTGGCTAGGTCACCTTCAATTGATAGCATTCAGAAAGATCCCAGGTGGGTGAAACCTTACTTTTATCTACAGTTATGCACTCATAAAGAGGTTTACAGTTGCAACCAGCTACATAATTTACAAGTGTGGTGTGTTGCTGAGCAGTTGGTCAGAGACGTTTGTTATTTGATTGAATTTTTGGTTGATTTTGTTTTAGCAAAAAATAGAAAGTAATTTGAATACATATTACTTTTTTCTGTAAAGTCTTCTGTGAGAAAAGACCTCTTGCAAACAAATTGAATGTATTTGGTCTAATGAAGAAACTTTCCTTTGTATTTTGAGCTTGTGTTTGTGGGATTTCCATTGGGAAAAACACATAAAATTATTGTATCCATAAAGATTAATAGTTTTGGTAAATATCCTGCTACGTATTTGGATCTGTTGTCATATAAATTTGTATTTAAGTATGAAGGGTTGGAATTTCAGTTGCATTAGGGGAAAATGCAAAAAAGGGCCCATCTACACTACCCTGTAATGCAGTTTGACTACAATGAATTGCATAAATAAATAAAAATATATTTTCAAAAAACTGCAATGAATTGCATTATATGGCAGTATAGACTCATGTAATGTAATTCAATTAAGTTTAATTGCATTATGAAATTGCATTATGTGGCAGTGTAGATGGTGATAAAGCCTCAATTCAGGAAAAAAACTAATTTATATAATACTTCCATTGGCACCAGGGGCAATTTTCAAAGAGATTGACTAAGACAAATCTTTAAAAGTTCAATGGACACAGTGGAAAAAAGTTCATTCACTATGTGTACTCCCATTCTTGGACGTAATAAATATGCAGTAGATTAAAAGCTTATGTTCATACAAGTTTTTACATTTTCCTGTAAATTTACATCTTTATTTCAGAAGCAAGTATTTCTGTTTTTTGTATTTAATATATCCCAGATTCAAAAGGATGGATTAGATTCTGCTTTATTTGTTCATCTTCTTGATTTGGAATGGTAAAATTTAATTGGATAACATTTGCATAGATGTCCATACATTTTAATAATTTGAAGATACACAGCTATTGTTTTAGTATTACTTCAATATTTGTATGCTGTAAAATTGTACCAGAAGAGAACTTTGTGGCAGCAGACAAAATAATATTAGCGCCAGTCATTCAGGATAGAAAAGTATGAAATAGGGTAGACTTACAAAGCACTTCCTTCTTTGTCTCTCATATGATATTAGGTATTTATTGTCAAAAGAGGTCACTTTTAAAAAATGATAACTATAGGCTTGTTGAGGTCAGTTCTCTTGTACTGCTTTTCCTGTTTCATGTTTCTTTGCTCTTTTTTTCATGTTTTACCTATTGGTCTAAATAGTTTTTGTGATATTGTACACCAAACTAGTCTTTTTATTTAAAAAGGTTTAGCAATAATATAGTGACCACTTGTAGAAACTTGCAGGAAAACATTGTTCATAAATGTCAATAAAAGGTGACAGTGTTTCGCCACCACCATATTTTTTTAAGAATATCTGAATGATCCTTAAATCAAAGTTTTATCATACTAAAATAGCCAAGATGGTTGGTGTTGATTCCTTTCAATTGATTCCTCTAAGAGAAGCCCTTTATCATTACACTGTAATTCAATGTTTAGGTCTGACTAGACATGGAAAAAATATTCAAGAATACTCAAAACAGGATTTCAAAGAATCTATTTTGTTTTTGAATATTGAGAACCCCGGTGTCAAACTTTGTAATCTGGGACCTATTACGTAAAAATTTCCATGTGGTTGTTTTGCACAGAAAACAGCATTTTCTGACTGAAGACACATTGCATAGAGAAAAACATTTTTCTTCATAGAAATGCTGTTTTCTGTGCAGAAAAAAAGCCACTTTCTGCACATAAAGACCATTACCAAATTTTGTGCAGAAGTCCTGAAATGCAAAATGCCTTTTTAAACTACATAGTTTTTGAAGTCATTTCTGAGTAGGAAAAATGCTAAAATTACTTGTTCCTTTCTTTAAGAAGTCAGTAGTGATGAATTTATTTCCTATCTCTGAGACAACTTAATGGAACAGATAATATAGTAGTGTAGATGGAGAACCATTTTGAAAATAGGGCAGAGATTGGAAAATCAGCTCAGCAAGACTGGGAGTTCCATATCCACTACAGTTTGAGTCCCATCTGCATCCAAATATTGGCAGCTCATCATCTCTCAACATCTTTCTTTCCCAAAATTGCTCTGTTTTGAAACAGGGCTATGAGTAATGCCAGTAAGAAGTCAAGGAAATGTAATATTCTTTATTCTCCACGAACAAATGAACCTAGCTTATCCTGGGCTCAAACTTGTCATCAAACTCCTGTGTGCATGTGATTTCAAGCTACTGTATTGTATTATTTATTTATTTATTTATCTATTTTATTCCTCACCTTTCTCCCCATGGAGTTTCAAGGTGGCCAACAACCACACATTCTAGTCACAATTTAAAACAAAGCAAATACAAAAAGATCAAAAAACATTTGAATAGATCTTTTTGGATGTAAGGTTAAAACATATTTAGATGTTATTAATTCACTGGGTTGTTGTAGGTTTTTCAGACTGTATGGACATGTTCTAGAAGCATTCTCTCCTGATATTTTGCCTGCATCTATGGTTGTGAGGTCTGTTGGAAACTAGGAAAAAATGGGTTTATATATCTGTGGAATGTCCAGGGTGGAAGAAAGAACTCTTGTCTGTTGGAGATATGTGTGAATGTTTCAGTTGGCCACCTTGATTGGCATTTGATGGCCTGACAGTTTTTAGGTGTGGCCTGTTACTGCCTGGGGGAATCCTTCATTGAGAGGTGATTAGCTGTCCCTGATTGTTTCTTGTCTGGAGTTCCCCTGTGTTTGAGTGTTGTTCTTCATAATTTATATTTTTATAAATTATTTTATTGTTATAATTTTAGAGTTTTTTAAATACTGGTAGCCAGATTTCGTTCATTTTCATGGTTGTGGATTTCAATGGCTTCTCTGTGTAGCTTAACATGATAGTTGTTAGAGTGGTCCAGCATTTCTGTGTTCTCAGATAATATGCTGAGTCCAGATCGGTTCATCAGGTGCTCTGCTATGGCTGACTTCTCTGGTTGAAGTAGTCTGCAGTGCCCGTCATATTGCTTGATTTATGTTTGGGCGCTGCGTTTAGTGGTCCCTATGTAGACTTGTCCACAGCAGCATCGTATAAGGTAGACTCCTGCCGAGGTGAGAGGATCCCTCTTGTCCTTTGCTGAATGTAGCATTTGTTGAATTTCCTTAGCTAGTTTGTAGGTTGTGTTTCCTCATCAGCTTCCCTATGCGGTCAGTGATTCCCGTGATGTATGGCAAGAGCACTTTTCCTCTGAGTGGCTCTTTGTCTTTACTCTCGTGGCTTGTTCTTGGTCTTGCAGCTCTTCTGATGTCTGTGGTAGAGTATCTATTAGCCTGTAAAGCCTAGTTTAGGTGATTCAGTTCATCTTGGAGCAGGTACTTTTTTTGCACTGTCTGCCAGGGCATTAATGGTGTCTCTTTTTTATCTTGGGTGATGCTTGGAGTTTTTATGTAGGTATCTATCCATGTGTGTAGGTTTTCTGTAAACTGTGTGACCCAGTTGTTGATCTGGTTTGTGGATGACTAGAACATCTAGAAAAGGCAGTTTTCCTTCATTTTCTTTTTCCATGGTGAATTGGAATTTTGGGTGGGTGTTGTTAAGGTGGTCCATGAACTTGTTTAGTTCTTCTTCTTCATGGCTCCAAATGGTGAAGGTGTTATCCACATATCTGAACCATATAGTGGGCTTCTTTGTTGAGGTTTCCATGGCTTATTTTTCAAAGTGTTCCATGTAGAAATTTTCTATGACTGAGCTGAGAGGGCTTCCCATAGCTACTCCATCTTTCTGTTCATAGAATGCAGGAATGAAGGAGGGCAAGGGGGAAGGAACGAAAGAGAGAAGGAGGGGAGGAAAGAGGGAAGGAGGGAGGGAGAAAAAGAAGGAAAGAAAGAGATACCGAAGGAAGGAAGAAGAGAAAGAGGAAAGGAAAGAAAACGGGGGAGGAAAGGCAGGAAAGAGGTAAAGAAGGAAGGAAGGAGGAAAGGAAATAAAAAGTGAAAGAACAAAGGAAATGGAGGTAAGGAAGGAGAGAAGGGAAGACAGAGAGAAAGGTGGAGGGAGGGAGGGAGGGAGGGAGGGAGGGAGGGAGGGAAGGAAGGAAGGAAGGAAGGAAGGAAGGAAGGAAGGAAGGAAGGAAGGAAGGAAGGAAGGAGAGAGAAGGATGGAACCAAAGAGTGAATGAAGCAATGAAAGAAAGGGGAAGGGAAAGAAAAAGGGGACAAGGAATAGGTAGGTACCTCTCTTTCATAATAGTCCAGACAGATACCTCTACATAAAAAATTCTTACTATAAGGCACAGCTATGCGTGGCAGGGCACAGCTAGTATCTACTAATTTTGACCATTTAATCCAAAAGGTAAATTAGAGGAGAATTTCTCAAAACAGCAATTCAGCAATTTGCGGAGGAAATAGTTGAGGAATAAATATATTTTCGAATGAAGTAAGCATTTTACAACCATACCTTTGAGAAACTAAATGATGCATAGAGAGGGATTCAGTTGCTGGCCTTTGAAAGAGTAAGAACTGAGAAAGCATAGCTTGTTTAGGCTGTACTATTTGAATCACGCACCAGCTGTTTGTTGGGATTCTAGCTCCCATTCCCTAGACAAGATGGACAATTGTCTGCAACTAACTGTTGTCACTATCATTATTTGTACAACCACAGGCTTCCTTTCCATAGATTATATGTGAACCTCTGTGAATTTTGTGAGCCTCTTCAGAAAAAATGTGAAAAGTTCTAATTTCAACTTTCTTGTTTCTCTAACATGTAAACTACATGTATGTTTAGATCGACCCCCTCCCTTTCGAAAGAGAGTCAAGACTTGGCTTTTTGAGCAGGCATTTCTAAATACAGTGTAACAGGCATAGAAAAATGGAATGGTTGGACGATGTGATTGGACAATGTTTTTAACAGGAGACCCTAAAATTCATGT